CTGTGCCAAGTCTACTGAGGCCCGGAACCGGACTGAGTCTCCCTAACACCCCCCCCCCACCCCGCCGCGTGCTCCGTCCCGGCCACGCCGTCAAGGAGCCACTCCCACCCGCCGGTGTACATACACTCTGCCCCCCACGGCTCCTCAAGGCGCCCTGCCCTGCACCTTCTTGGGAGGAGGTGGGGGGCGACCCCGACGCTGCACTCTTCCCCGCTCCCCCTTCATGCTGCAGCTGTACACCCGGCCCTCTCCCCGCACCCCAACAGGCGGAGGGGAGTGTGGAGCCCTCCTGGGCCGCAGCAGAGCTGTACATAAGGTGTGCAAAGTGTATATGAAGTTATTTATTCGTGACCTATGAGCCCGTGACCGTGTCCGTGAATCAGTGAGTCTGTGGCCTGTGCCCTCTTCCCTCCCAGGTGAGGCAGGAAGGGGTCGGGCTTGTCCACCACCCCAACCCCCAGCCGCCTGTCCGGGGGCAGGCAGGCCCTCGGGTTCTCTCTCTTTTTTAAATGTCGAAATAAACTTCTTACAAATGACCATGCGCCTGTCCGCGCTCAGCCCTTCTTTCCCGCCCCTCCTTAAGATTCATTTTCCCCTTCTGGGACGCGGCCTCCTTCCATCCGCAGTAGGGAATATTTTTGTCCCCCTCTCTTCCTTGGCGCTGTGGTCAGGGGGCAGGGGGCCCATTGGCCTCGCTGGGGTCCACGGGCAGGGGCCTCCCCTCCCTGGCCTCAGTCTTCCTGTCTCTACAGTGAGGCGAGCCTACTGCTCTCCCCACCGCCCCGCTTCCCTCTCCATCTGGCTCCTTGCGGCTCCCAGCCGGTCCCCGGGGGCCGGAGTGGGGGTCAGCGCCTGGGCTCGCTCGGCGGCGGCCGGGCTGCGGTGCCCTCGCTGAGCCGGCTCATCTGGCCGCAACAAGGGCGCCGGCAGCTGGTGACCGGCCCGCCGGGCGCGGGGCCGACAGATGGGCTCCGAGGCTACTCCCCCCCGCCCGCCCCCTCCGCCCCGCGCTCCGGCCGAGATCGGGCTCCGGCCGCTCGCGAGCGCCAAGGCGGCTCCGGCCCTGCGCCGCCAGGACCCAACAAGCCTTCGCTGGGAGCCTGACGCTGCATGGGTAACCCCCCAATCCCGCATCTTCTCACTTCCCCCCCTTGACCCTGGGAGCACGTAGATGAGACCCAGAGGGGAGCCAAATCCCCGCGTCTGCCCCATGCCCCAGCCTGCGGCACCAGAATCTCAGGGGAGGGGAGTTTAAGGCTCCAGCCAGACTGGAGGCCTCCAGTTCATGTTCAAGGGGCCAAGGTCACCTCCTGAGGCCGGTGGCTCTCAGGGGAAGTGGGCACAGGTGCTTCCCTCCCACACACCACCTGCAGCTCGGACTCTCAGGGCAGAAGACAGACTGAGGGCCCGGAAGTTTTGGGGCCCCATAAGCAGGGCCCCCTCCAGTTTTGTGGCAGAGCCAGTTTTGTGGCTGTGGGAGAGGACTGCCTCCTGGGGGAGGGGTGGAGGGCATGTTTAAACTACCCCCCCAAACGGACCCTGCTACTGTTTCCTCCCCCCTGCCCCCACCGCTTTTCTTTCCCTGGACCGTGAGGGTATTATTCTAATTTTGCAAAATGCACAGCAGCTAATTAAGTCAAGGAACCTCTCGGCTTTCAAGTTCTTTTGCATGTGAATGGGGGTTGGTAAATCCCCAGCTCTGGCTGCGGTGGGGGGCGAGGGGAGACTGTCCCCAACTCAGGGTTAATGAAGTGGGAAAGGAGTCTCTCATAGCCTCCTGCAAACAAAACCCCCCACGCAACAAACCCAGCCGAAATCCTACATGGATTGACTTAAGCCCAGGGGATAAGTGCTTTAAATTAATCTCATTGAATAAGAATGAGACCAAACAAAACTCTTTAAAATCATATTAAAAATCTATCAAAGGACAACTTGCACTGGTGTGCTTTTCATTTTGTGAAAGTGAAGGAGGTAGACCAGAGCAACCACCCCTCCGTTTACACAGCGGCAGTGTAAACCGCAGACACATTCTCAACTATGTAATTGTCCTTGTACCTCAGAGGCGATTTCATATCTTACATTAATGAAGAACAAGGCTTCCCTACAAGTTTATAATTACAATATTTTAAATTGTCCTGCACTTCCCATCTGTAATAATAACTTTACAACCTCTGCGATGAGGTGGGCTTCTGCTCTCATCCACTTAGAAGACTAAATTGGCTTCCCTGTTCCCAACCCTGCGGCTGGGTGTGAACTCTTTTCAAAATACAAAGAAAGAATGAATGCAAGCCCCCCCCGCCAAGCGGGCCGAACAATGGCAGAGGCCCCCAGGAGGCGTCTTCTCCGCTCCCCCACCGGTCCACCCCGCTCTCTTAAGAACCTAGGCTCCGCGGGGTCGGGGCAGTGAAGTTTAAAGGAAGTTTAGGTTCCCCTGTGAGCCTCGTTACAAGGGCTCTGGAAATTTCTGAGGAGCCTAGCTGACTCGAAGGGTGTCCCACTGCCCCCACACAGGTAGGCCTTGCTCGGAGCTCCTCTCACGGAGGGAGCGGGTTAAGACATAAGGTGAGATGGTCACACAGGCAATTTAACAAGACCCGCGAAGTGCCCTGTCCAAGCAGGGCCACTTTTCCAGTAGAAAAAGCTTTAAATCCCCGCATCATGGAAGCGATGCTTTGACTCATATGGCTTTCCCTGACTTTGCTGAGGGCCCGCAGTGGTGACTAGCAAGGTCCCTAGCAGTGTGGGATGCACCTGCCTCAAGGGGCTCTCCCTGACTCCCTCTTCCCTAAATCTCACCTCCCTTCACTACAGGAAAGGAAAAAAAAAATCAGAGGAACCCACTGGGCTTTGTCAGAATGTCCTCTGCTGAGACCTCGTGGTCTCTTGGCTTCTCGGAGAGCGGAAGGCGCCGTGTGCACCAGACTGACTCCGTCACTCGCCAAGGGCTCTTTGCCCTCCAGTGTGTGGGAACGGGCCCCTCGGAGGAGCTGCAAACGCGGAGAGGTTTTGGATGCAAAACCAGCATTCGACAAGCCCACGAGGGGAAAAGCTTTAGGCTGCAGTACTCCACGATGTGACCAAATTCTCTGTGACTTTAAATAGGTAAGTTTGGGAAATTAGAAAAAGGGACACGATTAAAAACACACACAAAATTAGAATATGTACAGTGGAATCAGGCTAAAGCTTCCCCTAATTGAGGCCTGAAATGTAGAATCTGTCAGGAGCCAGGATAGGAGAGAGATTTATTTTAAGGTTATTTAAATTTAGATAATATTAACCCTAAATCTGTTAAATCCGTGTTTCTTTATTAACTGGGGGTAATATATTGATTCTGCTTAGAAACAGGCCCTCGAAGCATCTATGGCAGGAAACCCTCACCTCAGTGTCGGCAGATCAGGCCCGAGTCCCACCTCAGAGTTCTGGTCCTTTATGCTCTGCAGGGGCAGGGCCAGCACGGCCGCAGGAATGCAGAACCCGGATTGCACCTCTCTTGGAACGAGTACTTGGGGGTGGGTGGGGGCGGGGAGCAGGCCTTCTCTTTGATCCTCCCCAATCACTGGCATTAATCCCGTTTCTCACACAGCTGGGTTTTGTCTCTAAAGTTCAGTGCCTCCTTTTCTCATCCAAATCCCGTGAACCATTACACACAGAAGTAAAAGAAAGGTGGCGGATTTCCCCAAGTCAGCTTGACACGTGCTGCAGGAATTTATTAGTATTATTATTACTGTTAGAAATTTCACCAACCGTCCCTATGAATGTGTATGTGACAAGTGATCTGAGGAGGTCACCCTGTCGCCGCCCCCCCCCCCATGGAGGATTAGTACTCACTGGGCTCCCACTGGCCCTCTCCCCCGGCTGCCTCCGGCCCCTACCCTGGCTACCGGAGAGGGATGGTGGCGAGGAAGCCGACCCCTCCATGGACCCCACAAGCAGCCACCTTGCAACTCTCATGACCCGCTCCTGGCCACTTAGTTCCTGTGGATCTGGAGGGTTTACTGAAATGGGGCCTCAGCTCCCTCGGCAGGAGCTGGAGGAGGAAGAAGGCAGCAAAGAGAACAGAGAAAGTGGAGGGAACAGACAGACTGAGTCCTAACAGTCGGGGCAGACTCCCCTCTGGAGTCCCGGGTCCCAATCGGACACTTACTGGGAAATCACTGCGGGGTCGGGTGGGGGTGGGGCTTTCAACCTCCCAGGGAAACACAGTGGGGGGAGGGGTGACTGAGGCCTGAGCCACACTACAAAGAACCCAGACCCAAAACTTGAAGACAAGGTGGGATTCGATGGGAGAAAACAGTCGGAGACTGGTGCCCTTTGACTTCAAAGGCAACAGTAAAAAAAAAAAAAAAAAAAAAAAAAGAGAAAAAGAAAAAAAAAGAGAAGAGGCACCAGTACATCCATCAGCCCCGAGAGTTTTCCGTGGACATGGACAAGGCAGCCACGCGCGTGAATGCAACCGGTTCAGAGCAGCTCGCGGGCAGGACCGGGAGCCTTCTGACCCCCACCCTAACCTGCTGGGTCCTTCTCCACAAAGCACTTGTATATCAAGAAAAGGAGCTGATGTCTTTTTTTTTCACTTTCACAAACTGCATTCCAGTTTTTAAAATCCTACTTTCCAAAATGCGTGCTAGTCCATGTGGCTGATACAGGGCAGCTAATGAAAACTGAGACTTGTTCAGAACCGTGTCCCGAGGCAGGAAGAGGACTCCCGCTGATGCCGGCCCCACCAGGCCCTCGAGGAGGTCAAGAAGTGCCTGCAACCCCGGGGCCAAGATGGTTCTGGTGGAAGAGATGCGAAGTATAAGCTCTCTCACAAAGGTAAGCATTAACCCCGCCTCTGCCAGGACGAGGGCTGTGGCTTCTCCGGGTCGGGGACATGGTGTTCAGGGAAAAGTGGCACCATTACTTCCCACAAGGCTCCCGACAAGGACAGGGCATCAGCCCCAGCCTGTGGAGGCAGAGTTAAAAAAAAGAACTGAAAACTTTTGGGGGGAAGTCCTGTTGTCCCCCAGTTAAGTCTATTTGGGGTTTTCTGCTTCACGGGAAGCGTTTCTTAGTTTTTCCCACGGCTGAGGCTGGGCGCCGGGGGCAGACAGCGCTTGCGTGGCTGGCTGCCGGGCTCTGCCTGTTTGTTTTGCTTTTTGACCTTGGCGACGCCGGCCTCCATCCCACTTGAGTATTCCGAACGCAAGATCTCAGCGAGGCAGTGTTTACTCCAGGTCTTCTTATGAAGGTCAGGCCTGAAGAACAGTAACAGCAGAGAGGAAAAGAAACTTTATTATTTTTTTCCTTCCCGTTTGGAAAGAGCCTGAGAGCAGCCGGTTCGGAAACTGCGGAACTGACATTTCTGTATTAACAGAAGTACAATGCCTTCAACAGTGCTTGTTTTGATATCCTATGCACCAGAAGATTAGATACGGCGCTGACAGATTTTCATAACGGTGGCAAAATATCATGGCATTTTTAAAAGTGAGGCTTTGTTCTATGTTGTTTTCATGGGAAAAAAAGAACGATATACACACTCACACTCTGATGGCAAATGAAGTGTGTGACACAGCAGTTTGCCAAAGGATGAGGGAAAAGACCCGCCTTGAAACTCCACAAGGCTCAGTGGTGAGAGCTCACCAGTGGCTCCCGGCCGGTGAGGCCCGCACCGTTCAAGGCCACTGGCCTCCTCCCGACAGGGCCAAATAGGGACTGCTGGGGTGTCAGTGACAGTCACCTCTTCACTGAGCGAGGAGACTCAAGTAAGTACTTCTGACCGTAAAGGCCCCAAGCCCGGGGTGCGCTGGGCCAGCGTGGTCAGCGTCCGCACGGCAGCTGGATCAGTGGCTCTCCGCGGACCACAGTTGTAGCTGTGGCTCAAGGGGGGGTCTCCCTGCCCGACCCACTCGGAAAGTAAGTGCCAAAGCCTGAAAATCCACCTCGGACGTTGAACACTAGTAACTGTTCTCAAAAGACAGCAGCCTTACCATCTGATCCGGAGATCAGAGGGAGAAATCTGTAAAAGTTCAGTTGTACACTGGAAGAACGATTACGAAAATGGAAAAGTGAATGTTTCCTAAGACAGGATTTTAACCAAAACAACAACAGAAACCCACAGTGTTAGGTGGGCCGGTCCCTCAGCCCCCCGATGGCAGGGTCACAGGGTAACATGGTGTCTTGGGGCTCCTACGGAAGGCACATGTCACACTCTGTGACTTACAGTTACATTTTCTTTGTAATAATCGCAGCTCAGGTGGACCAGGGCCGTGGTCCACGCAAACGTAATGGGACTCCTGTGAAACTCCAGAACCGGCAACAGGACCGTTACACTAATAAATGGATGATGAAAGGCCGCAGAGCCGTGTGACGGTGTTGTCCCTGGGAGAAGGCGGCCGCGCTGAATTATGGGTGCACTGCACAGGGTGTGGGGTGTAGGTGGGGTGTGTGCAGGGTGCGGGGTACAGGGTGCGGGCAGGGTGCAGCTGAGTCCATGGCGCCAGTAGAGTGAGGTTTCCCACCACAACACATGGGGGCCACAGTCACCCTTGGCTGGGCACAGTGAAGACTTGAGGACGACAAGAGGCCAGGGCCTGAGGGCTAGAGTTTCTCACGGGGCTGCATGGCTGTGTCCCGGAGATGAGGGGTACAGAGGTTCTGCATGATCCCACACAGCCCCCGCGGGATGAGGGCGGCATGGCAGCAGCCTCCCATCACAGACAAGACACCTAATCCGGAGGCGCACGTGTACCTTGCCCAGGACCATCCAGCTCACGGGGGCAGAAGCAGAGACGCAAACACACGTCAGAGGGACTCAAGCCGGCGTGCTTCCAACCAGGCCGCGGGGCCCGGGGTGAGCCATCGGTTAGGCCCAGCAGCAAGGGTGACAACCACGATTTGACCTGGGGGGAGTCCCGGGGTCACACAGGGATGCTACAGGGGGACCATGGGGCCAAATCTGGATGGCCGAGGAGGAAGGAGCAAGTGGGGAGGAAGAGGAAAGGCCGGGGGTGATGGAGGTGCCTGGCCTGGAACCTCGCTCATTAGCTGAACGACAGGGACGGAGGTTCTCTGGGCTCCAGCTTCCTCATCCGAACCGGGAGAACGCTCAGGACGAAGCTCAGGGAGCCGTGAGGGGGAGCGACGCGCAGGCTGAGGCAGGCCAGGGCACCTCTGGCTGCTCCCCCTTCTCCTCCGGGGCCCGCCGTCCAACTCCAGGGGGGCCCGCCGTGCCCTGGCCGTCGCTCGGGGGCCGGAGCGGGGCTGGGAAGCGGGACGGGGAAGCGGCAGGAGCCAGGCTGCAGCTGGGAGCGCTCGGCTTGCTGCACACCGAAGGCTGCCAGTTCTGGTGCCTGGAGGTTATTTTTAGTCGGGTTACATGACAGAAGGAATGGAAAGGTTCTGACAGGAAGAAACGCTGCCTCTTCCCTTTTGACGCCAGGTACTTACAATGTGTATAATTTTAAACGCAACAACCGAGTTTCAAAATATGCAAACTTTCAGTCAAAATATCCTCCCCAGCACACAATGTGTCTGCCGCCTCAGAGACCGCTCCTGCCACCCGCGAATGCAAGATAAACAGCCAGCGTCCGAGGGCGGCGGTCTGCAGAAGTGACACTCTCCCGGCCAGGGCGCTCGGCGGCTGGCACCGCGCCCCCACCGGTGCCACACGGCGGGCGCATGCGCACACAGCTGGGTGCTCCGGGCCGCGGAAGGCCCCGTCTGCTGGGCACGGGGGGTGGGGGGCGTGCGTGGGGCGCGCTGACCAGCAGCTTCAAGTCCGCGCCGTGGAAGAGGCCGCCCCTGAAAGCGCCGTCTTGGATGTGGTCCTGCGCAGAAGCCTGGAGCCTGTGATCACAAAACCTCCCGGCTGTGTCATGATCTCATTCTAGTCAACGAACGTACTTCCAAGTGGGGGCCCACAGCCAAACTCCAAGGCTCTTGGTGGCCTGGAGAGCGAGCGGGGTTTGAGCTTTCAGACCCAGAGCCCTTCCTGAGGACGCGGACCTCAGGGTCACCCGCAGGAGCCTCCCCTGCTGTGGGAGCAGCAGGACTCATCTTCCCCCTCGGCCGGCTCGCTGCCTGCCGTTCCTTTGTTCTGAGGCCTGGGCCAAGAAGGCGAAGTGCAGATGGGAAGGTGGGACGTTCTCAGCCCAGGCCGGCCGGGCGCATGCGGGCTCCAGCTCCTTCTCCTGCCAAGCTGTAGTCCTCCTGGGGACCCGCCAACTTTCTTGCCCTCCTTGCCCTCCAAACACTCCAGCCCCTCTCCAGTGGCCCTCCCGGGGCTGCAGTAATCCGGCAGTTACCAAGCAACGGATCAGTTTATCTAACCACGGGGAGCTCCCTTGTAGTGAAGGCTGAAGAGCCCCTCGGTCAGCAGCCTGGATGGTCACCAGCCGGGATCACCCGGCAGGACGGGCAGATGCCACTTGCACTGCCAATAAGGCGGAATCACAGCCTAATTAGGAAATCTATGTGGCCGCTAGGGTGACCGCTGCAGGAGAGGGGCCTCGGGCCCTCCTCCCAGTTTTATGGACAGACTCCCAGAGGGCGGCCCCAGGTAGGGAGCCGGCCCAGCCCGGGCTTGTGTCAGTGCTGTCCTCTTGCGGGACGGAGGGTTTCACTGTATCTTCTTTTGTTTAGGTGCTGTCAAGCCAATCGATGTTTTCTTTTCTGTTTTATCGCTTTAAGGTCAGGCTTAGGGAAGTCTTCCTCATCCTCGCACTGAAAAACGCTCAGGCATACTTTCTTTTCGTTTGCTACCGCCTTAATTCCATCAAGATTTTCTTCTGGTTTAACAATTCCTCCCCAGCAGCTATCCAGTTACCCGAGACAGTCACTGGACAATAACCCTGCCCCCCAGGGACTCAGAATGCACCCATCACCCCCTTTCTGATGTTCAGAACAGTTCCCGTCGGTGATGTGCGAAGACGGCCAGCATTAACGCAGTCTGCAACTCGATTAGAACAACATGTAACTCACATGGGCGGTGAAGGCATTTAAAGGTAAAACAAGTCTTAAATCCGGGGCTTTTGAACCAGCCACGCGACTGTAATATCATTCTGCTCCTCCCGCTCCCATGGCACTCAGGGTAGGTCAGGCACCATTTTCGGCACTTGACAGGTATTTAACTCAATGACTTCGCCAACAAGCCCACGACACAGGTAGTGTTGGCGCCCCAGGGCCACGAACCAGGACAGAAGAGCTGCTGGTTCAGCCCCGAAAATCTGACCGTATGACGTGCACACTTAACCACAGTGCTGCGCTCATCAAAATGAGAAGTCTCTTACGTGAAATTTTTTTTATAAGTGGGGGAAGGGGGAAAGGGAGAGAGAATCTTTTTTTTTTTTTTTTAATTTATTTATTTGACAGACAGAGATCACAGAGAGAGTGGGGAAGCAGGCTCCCTGATGAGCAGGGAGCCCGATGCGGGACTTGATCCCAGGACCCTGGGATCCTGACCTGAGCTGAAGGCAGAGGCTTAATCCACTGAGCCACCCAGGCGCCCCGAGGGAGAGAGACTCTTAAGCAGGCTCCACGCCCAGCACGGAGCCCAGTGAGGGGCTCAGTCTCAATCATGACCTGAGCTGAAACCAAGAGGCAGAAGTGTAACAGACTGAGCCACCCCGGAGTCCCAAAATACTTTCAGTAACAAGACAACGTTCACATTATCTCAAAATCTCAGAGACTCTTAGAGCCCCCGATAGAGTGCATCTTATGGTTGGATAACAGGTAAAAAACAGCACTTTAGAAACTCACAATTTGTTCAGCTTCGTTACAGAAACGAAGAGACCCGAATGCATACACTTGCAGAGGAAGTCTGAAGGGCATAAAAGATGTGATTCAAGGTTAACTTGGATTGTGGGTTTATGGGGGGTTGTTTAAGCTTTCCTCTATTTCCTGAATTTTTACAATGAACATGTATTATTTTTATAATCAGAAAAAAGCATATTTTAGGAAAGAAAAATCAAATGGTAGATTTTTGCCCTATGCTGAAACATCAAAGTATTTTAATCTTTACTTATCAAAACGTCCTTCCCTTTGGCTGTTAGTTTGCTTGATTCTGTGAGGGATTTTTCTCTTAAATCAGACAGACATACAGAAGAGGGAGGAGTCAAGTGTGCTTACTTTTCTGATCTGAAAGATTCTGCACGAAAATGAACGACCCAGAGCCACAGTGAGACACCCCCTTCCCCAGGACTCTGCAGGGAGGCAAGCCCCCAGCTGGAAGAAAAGCCCGTGTTCCAAGTGATCCCGG